AATAAATGAATAAACTAAAAAAAAAAAACAAACAAACAAACAAAAAAAACTACAATTTCAGCTTCCATTCTTTAAAAAAAAAAAAAAGAAAAGAAAAGAAAAGAAAAGAAAAAGTGAGACCAGGCATAATAGTTACGTCACTGGACTTACACAGTCAACCGTGGTTCGAGTCCCGGACCTAGAGGTTTAAATCTCACACAGGCATATGTATGTGCATGTCCAAAATGCTGAGGGGAGAATGAAGGAGAAGGAATTGCAGCGTGGCCATTCCCCCGAGGTATGATTTCTCGCTTTCTATCTCTGTCTCTCTGTGGAGCACATGTGCCCTGTAGGAAAAATCTCTGTTAAAAAAAGAAAAGGGGGGACCAGCAAGTGGTGTGGTAGTTGAAGCACTGTATACTCCCACGTGGCCAACCACAGTTCAAGTCCCTGACTTGGTGGCTTGCTTTCTCATTCTCTCTCTCTCTCTCTGTCTCTCTCTGGTCAAAATAAGATAATGAACAAATAAAAATAAGTAAATCATTACTTAAAAAGAAAAAAGAAAGTTCAGTTTTGGTTCTGTATGTTTTTATCTGGAGCACTGGCCACTGGATCCTCTTTCCTTTGCTCTATCTAGCTGGATCAGTACAGGCCTCAGAGCCTCTTTAGGATTCTTTCTGGCCTAGTCACCAAACCCATTGACCTTTTAATGGCAAATCAAAAGCAGATGGCCTCCCTGGTTTTGCTTAGTATGTGGCATCAAACAGTGTGACACTTCCTGAGAAAGGGAGGTAGGGAACAGAAATGGACTAGGAGATTTGCTCAGCAGACTTTCCTGCCTTACTAGAGGATAGCTCAGTCCCTTTTCTCCACCCTGTGTAACAGAGCAAGGATAGGTTTATGCTGGAGGAGCCCTGTGGAAGGAAGGTATTCAGAACTAAAAATGTTTCATTGCTACTCAGTATCCCATTGATGTTATTTAAGTTTAAGGGACAAGGGGGCAGGAGGTCCACTGTGTGTGATATCAGGGCCTTTTCCCAGCTTGCTGACTGCACACAAACCTCACTTCTTGCAGTGTTACCGGGACTTGGCTCTGGTGAGTCGTGATGGTATGAATATTGTCCTGAATAAAATCAACCAGATACTTATGGAGAAGTACCTGAAGTTGCAGGATACCTGTCGTACTCAGGTAAGATCAAGAAAAGAGAGGATCTAGTTCAAAGATATAGTAAGAGCATGGTCCCTCTCTTACCAGGGAGGGAAGGAGGAATTAGGGGTAACACACCCCTACCATTGTGCACCTAAATTATAATGGGGTTGAATTAGCTCTGTTCTCACATTTATAGGCCACACTCTTCATTTGTTTTTTCCTTTCTCCTTTAGTTGGTGTGGTTGGTACGGGAACTAGTGAAGAGTGGGGTTCTGGGAGCTGATGGTGTTTGCATGACATTTATGAAGCAGATTGCAGGTGAGTTTGATGGTGGGAGCATAAAGAAAAAAAGAGAGGGACCCAGAAACTAATCTAGGCAATGGAGAATGATTAGGTGTTTAAAGGACTCAATTCCTGGTTTGTTGACACATTTTCTTTTTTTTTTTTTTTGGAGAGGTTTCGCTATAGGGTGCATGCGCTTGCCAGACAGACAGAGACAGACAGAAACAGAAAGCGAGAAATCACCACCCCAGGGAGAATGGCCACGTCGCAATCCCTTCTCCATTCTCCTCTCAGGATCTTGGGCATGCACGCACATGCGCCCAGCGTAAGTTTAAGCCACCGGGTCCGGGACTCAAACTGCAGACGACTACATGGGAGTCCAGCGACATAGCCATTACGCCATCACGCCATCTGCTGGTCCCTTGACACACTTTCTGACAGACATCTGACCACATGTGTTAAAGAAACTGACTGAAAAATCGTAGGGGACACCAGCCTCTGGCTTGGTGGTTAAGGGATTTAGATCCCTCTTGGCCTACCATGCAGTTTGAGTCCTGGACCCTACAGCTTGAAAAACACACTGGGTACATGTGTGTGCATGCCCCAAACCCAGACATGATGGAGAAATGAGAAGGGATTGTGGTGTGACCATTCCCTGTGGGGAGCAGGGAGTACTTTCTCCCTCCTTCTGTCTCTCTGGCAAACACATACATGTACCCTCTGGAAAAATTCTTTTAAGAAGACTAAGAAAAGGAAAAATCATCACAGGTGGCCTTTTGAAGCAGTAAGTCTTGTCTCATTTTCTTCTCTCCTGCTTAACCTAGAGCCTGACAGAACATTTGGCCTACTTTTGCCAGTCCTCACTCTAGAGTTTCATAGCATAATCGGATCAGGAGGGAATGGGGAGACAAGAGCAGGCAAATAATTTTTTCCCATGTCACTATGCTTTCAGAAACCCAGACATCTTCCCTGGCTGCACCATTATGTTCTAAGCATTTGCTCCCTAATAATGATGGCATTTGACTGGGCCCAGTCTGAGGGACAAAGTATGTCACAGAACAGACCCTGACATTTAGGTTTTGTTATCATCTTGGCATTGGTCTGTGGCTGTGTCTTGTCCGTGTGAGCCCCTGAATATCCACGAGGCCTATCTGTGCTACTGCTTCCACTTCCAGGATGGTAGATGTGGGCCTCCACCTTGGCAGTTGCCTGATGGTACTTTGTTTCCTCTTTAGGATCTTTTCTTTTTTTTCCAGAGGTTTTTGCTGTAGGGTGCATGTGCTCTCCAGACAGACAGAGAGAAAGAGACAGAAAGCAAGAAATCACCCCCCAGGAGGGATGGCCATGCCGCAATCCATTCTCCTCGTTTCTCCTCTCGGGATCTTGGGCACGCACGCACACGCGCCCGGCGTGAGTTTTAAGCCACTGGGTCCAGGACGCAAACTGCAGTCGACTACGGGGGAGTCCAGTGATATAGCCATTACGCTAACTGCTGGTCCCTTTAGGATCTTATATAACATGGATACTCCTGTTTTGATGTGTACGAACCTTAATTTTTGTGGTGCGTAACTATGTGAACATTGAACTTTTTGATTGGGACCTGGGACAAAGCAGAGCATCGTTGTGCTGGCGAATTTTATCCTCCTGGCACTTTCTCCCCTGTGTGGCACACACAGCCTCCCCTGTTCTCATCCCAAGAGTTTGGTCTGGCATTACTGCATGTTAATTCTGCTCCAGGAGGTTCCACAGTAAGCACTAAAGACTGTAGTACCTGGAAAAAAGAGACCCTTGACCTGTCCTGAGAGAACACAGGACTCTGGACATCCGGATGTTGCACTGCAGCCTGGCCAGCTGTCTGCACCTTGCAAGCCCTGTCTGAGCTGTCGCACTTTCTTTCCACCCATGTGCCTCTCATATATTCTTCCCAGACATTTCTGTTGAGGGGCCAAAGTTCCCACTCCAACTCCCAGACTCTGGTTTCTGGAAAAATCCAGAACTTTTGCCTCCCTTCTCTCTGGAGGCAAAGTTTTAGAAGCTTTAACCCTGACGGAATGGGAGGCTCAGGACAGCAGTGGTGGAACAGCAGTTAGGGTGCAACTGCAGGAAGGCGAAGAGGTGGGTTGGATTAGCAGAGCTGCTAGTCAGAGGCTCTGATTCTCTATTTTCCCCCTTTGAAATCAGGTGGAGATGTTACAGCCAAAAATATCTGGTTGGCAGAAAGTGTTCTGGATATCCTGACGGAGCAGAGGTAAAGTCTGTCACACAGGGTGGAGCAAGAGCCAGAAGCAGCCACGAGGGGTATGAGTGTGGGAAAAGGGGATGGAAGTACTTTGTGGCCCACAAACACCTTCAGTTTGAGAGGGGGAGGTGACAATGGAGAGCGAGTATATTGTTAGCAAGCGATGAAATTAATGCCACGCTGTAGCCCAAGGGATGAAGAAGTGGGAAAGAACGTCTTTGCTAAAATATCTCAGAGCCCAGGAAAAACTGGTTTCATCTGATAAGGGATTATTTTTGATTCAGACCTCCTTGGAATGTTTATCTGTGGGGGGGGGGGCAAGGAATGAGCTCAGCAGTGAGGAGCCAGCCAACCACCCAGGCTTGGCAGGTACCCTTTTCTCCCTCCCACGCCTCTTGATCCAACCCTCGCTCCTTTTGAAGTGGCTCAGGACAGTGAGGGTTGAGGGAGCAGAGATCATTGAATCCTGCTAGAGTTTACATATGGAGCTTGGAGAGTGCAGTGATGAAGAGCATATAACGGGGACATATCAGACTTTCCAGATGATTTTTCTTCTCCAGCAAAGTAAGGGACCAGAAGGTTTGTAATACCTGTTCCATATTTGAACTTGTTAGAGCATAAGCCTTCCCCTTGGCCTAGGCTTCTTGCTCGATTTCAGAGTCTTCTTCAGATGAGGACACTGTAATGGTCAAATGGCTGAGAGGGCTCATAGTATCCGTACTGCCCACGGTTTAGAAGAATGGGCCTCCTGCCATTATTACAGCCTGTAAGAGGGAAGGCCAGGCTTTATGCTCTGCCTGTGCCTGAGTGCCCTGCCATGTCTGCTGGGCAGTGCCACCTAGTGTTCTGGGCATGGGTGTGCAGCTGCAGCTGGGCCTGAGGTTCTTCTCTCAGTGGTGCCACCGCACCAGCAAGCCGCAGAGATCCTAGCTGTTTCTGACCAGGTCTCTGTTTTTCTTAGATCTCTATACTTTTACTTTCTTTCCTTTTTTTTTTTTTTTTTTTTTAATTTGTCAGAGAACATGTGTGCTTGCTAGAGAGAGAAAGAAAGCTCCCCTCATGGGGCCTGGCCATGCTGCAATCCCTTCTCCATTTCTCCCTCCTTTTTGGGATTTTGAGCACCTGCACATGTACCTGGCATGCTTTTTAAGCCACCAGGTCTGGGACTCTGATTGTGTAGTCTGCCATGTGGGATCCAGACACCTTCAACCCGTGCTACTGACTCACCTGGTCTCTGTACTTTTTCTGCTGTCTTAGGTCAGAGGGTCTCACTTTTTTTCTCTCTTTGTCTTCTTTACCCTACTCCAGGATTTAAATACATCCATCACTTTTGCTAGCAAGTTTCTTAAACAGCAATTTTTCTTATTTTCTTCCTGATGCCAGATACCTTCTGTCCCCATCCCTTAAAGCTGAATTTCCTGTTGAAGCATCAGATCATAGCCAGTGTCTGCCCTGCCTTTTCCTCCATTCTCTAAAATGTTTACACCTTTTGGTAAAAGTGAGCACCTAGGAGTTTAAAATGTCCCCTCCATATTCTCCTCTCTTTTCCAAGGCTTCTAGGTCTATGGACGGAAGGGTCCTTGGCTGAAGCCTTCATCTTGCAAAAGAAAAAGGCCAATCTTTTAATTAGGTGGCTTGAGTACTTTTCCGGAATCAGGATGTGGCCTGGTTGGATTAATTAAACTCCCTGTCTTCTTCCTCCAATTCCCTGTCTTCCAGCAGGAGTGCCAAAGCCATTATAAACTGTTTACTTGATGGAAACAGCACTAGTACTTTAGGAATCTCCCCAGTGTGCCTTTTTCTCTACCCCTTTATAAGCCGCAAAGAACAGATAATTCTCTTCTCTCTTTTTTGGCTAGAGAGCACTTATGCTCTCCAGAGACAGTGGGAGAGGGAGAAAGCACCCCCCAGTGAGGTGTGGTCATGCCACAGTTTCTTTTCCTTCATTTCTCTATCCTGTCGTGATATGGGACACACATATACGTGTGCCCAGTATGTTTTTCAAGCTTCTGGGGCTGGGACTCAAACTAGTCAGCCATGGGACCAGCAGTTAGCGTAATGGCTATGTCGCTGGACTCCCACGTAGTCGACCGCAGTTCGCGTCCCAGACCCAGTGGCTTAAACTCACGCCAGGCGCGTGTGCATGCATGCCCAAGATCCTGAGAGGAGAATGGAGGAGAAGGGATTGCAGTGTGGCCATCCCCCCTGGGGGGTGACTTCTCGCTTTCTGTCTCTCTCTCTGTCTGTCTGGAGAGCGCACGTGCCCTATAGCAAAAACCTCTCAAAAAAAAAAAAAAAAAACTAGTCAGCCATTTGGGATCCAATTCCTTTAGCCACTGGGCCACAGGACGGCCCCAAATAATTCTTGTATTATTCCCTTTTACCTTAGTGAAGGCCTACAACTCCTGGGAAAATAGGCTTTGCAATCCAAAATCAGATTCTATTTTCAGATTATGATTCAGGGCCAGTGACTCATTGTTTGGGGGTGGAGTCAGTGACTCGAGAGCGAGCCAGGGAAAGGCTGGTGGGATGGTGGGCTGCTAAGCTCAATAGAAGGGCCAGCATGGTGTAGTCTGAAAACTAGCCTAACGCCCCTAGAAGGTCTTGAAAGGGTCTTGGGATCCTGGAGGTCCTTGGTCAACACTCAAGAACTACTGACCGAGGGACATGTACAAAACTTTCCTCACAGCGTATGTCAAGTAGAAGTGGCTTATCTCTGTTCCCAGTGCCTTTCACATTAGTTGGCATGTGGGCAGTCAGTACATAAATGAGTCAACAAACAAATTATTCTATTGGAAGTTACGTAGTTTTGTGATATGTTTCTGCATTTATCTTTATCGAGTGCCTGAAAGTGAACTTAGAAAGTTGTCCCTACCTTGGCCAGTTAGTAGTCCAAGCTAGATAATAACAGCATGAGTGAGCAAGCAGAACACCAAGGAACCTGTGCCCAGTGTCTCATCATCAGACCTTTTCTCTCTCTCTCTCTCTCTCTCTCTCTCTCTTTTAAATTTGTTTATTTCATCCATGAAGACAGAGAGACAGGTACCCCTGAAAAGTTTGCACATTGCATTCTACCCTGTCTCAGTTGACCCTGATCATAGGCACATGTGTGCTTGGAGATCCAGACATGTGAACCCGGGACCTTTCCCATGTGATTCCTGTTGCATTGCTGCTGTGCCACTTCTTGACCCTAATCATTAAATGTTTCTGAGGCACTGGAGCCAAGTTGAGGGTGAGTTGGGAGGGTGAATTCGTCTAGGCAGGGTATACAGGTGCCAGCATCTTCCCTCCCTGCAGGGAATGGGTACTGAAGAGCAGCATCCTCATTGCCATGGCTGTGTACACATACCTCCGCCTCATTGTGGACCACCACGGGACCGCTCAGCTCCAAGCCCTGCGGCAAAAGGAAGTGGATTTTTGCATCTCGTTGCTTCGGGAACGGGTAAGCAAATAGAACAAAACAATATGGAGGAGTGCTATCCAGGATTGGATATCTCGATAGCTTTTGTGTACCTGCGCTAGAGATGCCTTATTAGAGATGGAGGCAGTCCAAGACGGGGTTGTTTTTCATCATTCTTAGACAGAGGAGGAGGTGAAAAGGAGATCATTGCAGAATATCTTTAACTTCTAGAGATGTTCCCAGTTAGGCTGGCATCTCTGGGATTGTCTGGTCAGCTTCACTGTGGTATGCCACAGTTACATACTGTCCTTATGTGCCCACTGTATATCACCCCCCGACCCATCCACCTAGGTTATTGCCATGCTCACATAGGCTTATGAATTGTCCATTATCAAGTCTCCCTAAAGGTATCCGTAGCCAATGGCCACATGTGGTTATTTAAATTGAACTTAATACTAGATAAAACCAGGGACCAACAAGTGGCGTGGTGATTGAGGTGCTGGACTCCTACATGGCTGACCGTGATTCAAGTCCTAGACCTGACGGCTTGCTTTCTCACTTTCCCTTTCTCTTTGTGTCACTCTCTTGTCAAATTGAAAAATAAGTAATATAAAATAAAAATGTAATAAATAATTACTTAAATTATTAAAAATACTAGATAAAACTTTAAAATTCAGCTCTCGAGTTATTACACATCAGCCATGTGTCACTAATGCGTAATGTTCGGATTGTACAGATAAAAATCATTTCCATGAATACAGACTTTTGTTGGACAGAATACATTTTGAGGTAGGGTGTCTGGGGCTCCATTTGCCAATCTTGTCCTTTTGGAATCTGAATCCCCCTTGAACCAGATTAGAACAGTTCTGGATGGAGAGGGCAGCAGACTAATGTGAAAGCCAGCAGGCTTCAGCACTTCCAGGAACCTCTCACCCCTGATAGCAGCCCCCAGCTTCCAGCTCTCTTCCCCTGACAGCTAGCAGCCAATCCCTTGGCTCCAGAAGAAATCATATAGTCCCTTCGACCCTCTTTCCTTCCCTTTCTAGAACATGCTGTTCCTTTGTCCTCCCTCTAGCAGGTAAACAATCCATGTTTTTATTCTCTTTCCTGTCACTTCCCCTCCCTTCCCATCAAGTTTATGGAATGTTTGATGATTGGCCGAGACCTCGTAAGACTGCTTCAGAATGTTGCTAGGATACCAGAATTTGAACTGCTTTGGAAAGATATTATCCATAACCCTCAGGCCTTGAGTCCTCAGTTCACAGGTAAGTAAGGGGCTGGGCAGTCTCCCTTGAGAAGTGGGAGGTTGGTTTTTGGCAGTCAGATATAGAAAACTTGGGACAGGGCAGGCCTTGCCAAGTGCAGCTGGATATGGGAATGGCAGAGGCACAGAACAATCTGTGTGGTTCCTAGACAACCACTATTCAGGACTCCAGCTATCATTTCTTCTAAGGCAGAAGTGAGACAGAGAACTACAATCCTCCCCCTTCCTTCCTCGAAGCTCTTTGGCTCAGGAGGTGAGCCAATGACCAGTTTACAGCTTCACTGAGTCTGTCAGAGGAATCAGAGGTCAATTTGTGAGACTGAGTCAGCAGAGGGCCTGGGATTAGTCCTACAAGAGAAGGCCCCTTCCTTGGAGCAATCTGCTTTTAATCCCAAGGATTCAGGGCCAGCATATGGCTTAGCGGTTATGTCGCTGAACTTCCACTTGCCCAACCGTGGTTCAAGTCCCAGACCCAGTGATTTGAAACTCATGCCAGACTCGTGTGCATGTATGCCCAACATCCTGGGAGGCGAACAGAGGAGAAGGGATTGTGACATGGTCATCCCCCCTGGGGGGTTATTTCTTGTTTTCCCTCTCATCATTTTGCCCTACAGCAAAACAGAAACAAAAACAAAATCCTAAGGATTCCATTTGGCCAAAATCCTCTTTTGGGGTGGTGGGGGGCAGAATATCTGTATGCCTCCCCAGAAAAGGTCCTTTTCATATCCCTTTCCCTTTCCCACTATGGTCTGAACAGTGTGGTGCAGTTTTGCTCCCCATCCCATCTCCAACACACATAGTATGTGTGCATGCACACAGTGTGGAAACACCCGTCCAAACCTGCGAGATCAGTAAAGAGAGGAAAGCACCAGTGCCAACCTTCTGTCTCGTACTCTACTTATGTCTAGTATGTGTCAGGTTGCTCTGAGTGCCTTCTCTTTTTTTCTCCTTTTTTCTAAAGAAGATTTTTACTATGGGGCACGTGCACTTGCCAGAGAGACAGAAAGTGAGAAATCACTCCCTAGGGGAATGACGATGCTGCAGTCCCTTCTCCTCTACTCTTCTCAGGATTTTGGGCGTACATGTACCCAGCATGAGTTTTAAGCCATCGGGTTCTGGACTCAAGCCACGGTTAACTACATGAAAGTTCAGTGATGTAACCATTACTCCATCTGCTGGTCCCTTTGAGTGCCCTCTCTGTGTTAGACAAATGAACGTTAACTTATTTAATCCTTAGGACAACCCTGTAAGCTGAGTCTTTTACTTTCCACATTTACAAATAAGGAAACCGAGGCTCAACGAGATTGAATAATTTTCCCAGGGCCACACAGCTAGTAAGTGATGGAAACAGGATTTGGATTCAGGTCTTTCTGACTCAGATCTCATGCTCATACCACCCCATCACGTTGATCCCAAGCCCAGTGATGGAGCCGTCAGGAAGAGGAAGAGACAATAAGGTTTCCCATGTTTTCCCTTTAACTTTCCCACTTGTTCCAACTGGAATAATGTGGATCAGAGCCTCTGGAATGCTAGCAAGAGAAGGGAGTTAATATAGCTGGATCCTAGGGATGGATGGTGCTTGGTTGGACCCAAATTTACAGATGTTGGTGGAAATCTCCACATATACGTGTGCTTGACCTCCCTGGTCATGTCTTTCCCCATGAGCATAAGACCACTGGTCTTCTGTACCTGCCTTCTATTCTTTTGGGTTCTCAGACTTCTCTCTGTTTTCTTCTTTTCCACACTTGGTTCAGGTATCCTACAGCTGCTTCAGTCAAGAACATCCCGAAAATTCCTAGCATGTCGTCTAACCCCAGACATGGAGACTAAGCTCCTCTTCATGACTTCCCGGGTAAGCTAGCCTACTGCAGCAGGATAAGGAGCTGCAGGTGCCAACTGGGCTTCTTGAGAACTTCGGTCAGAGGCTCTGTTACTCTGTCACTGTGGGTGGCTGATCGGCTTGTCTGCTAGATGTTTTGCTTTGTCATTCTGGGTCTGTATTTTGTGTACATCAAGGGTATGATGTTAAATAAGAATATTCCAGCTCTTGTGAAGCATTCAGTCTCTAAAGCAATCATTAAGCCAACAGTGTATTCAAAGAGTATCATTTACACGTGTGAGATGTTCTAGAAAAGGGTAGAGTGAACATGTTCATTCTAGGGCATCTGCGCTTCCTCCAGGAACCTTGAGCTCTCTCAGGAAGAGAGCTATGGTGTTGGGATTCCAAATATGGCTGATTTAAGATAGAATTGCTAAAGGAATGTGTTAAATTTTCAGCTTCCTGAATCCTGCTTTCCCAGAGAATCTAATGGAAGAGTCTAAGTTTTATGTATTTAGTTCTTCCATGAACAAGAGAAATAGACAGCAGGGTCTTCACGCCACCATCTACCCTCATCCTTAGCCAGTCCAGGTCGTGGGCACACATGTACACGGCGTACTCAGGGAGGTCTTCAGATGCAAAATTGGAACCTTCCCTCCTATGTTGGCCAGCCTTGTGCTTTACTGCTACACCATCATCCAGCTCCACGGAAGAATCTTTTTAGCAGACCTATGAGACACTTCCTCTGCAACAAATCTGGCTTTAAGGAACCTTTTCTTAACCAGCTTTTGATTTCCTAAGTAACACAGGGGAATTATCAAGATCTGTGCTGTCCTGTGTGATTGCCACTAGCCACATGCTGCAGTTTAAATTTAAGTTAGAATTAAGTTAACTTGGGGACCAGCAGGTGGCATGGTGGTTAAGGTGCTGGACACTCCCACATGGCTGATCATGGTTCGAGTCCCAGACCTTTCTTTCTCACTTTCCCACTCTGTGTGTGTGTGTGTGTGTGTGTGTGTGTGTCTCTGGTCAAATAAAAATAAATGAATGAATAAATAAAATGAAGTATTTTTTTTAAAAGAAGTTAACTTAAAATTCATCATCACCTCAGTTGCAGTAGCTACATTTCAAATGTTCAGTAGCTACCACCATTGCAGAAAATTCTGCTGGATATCATTGGTCTAGATATATCTTTCTGGGGTTTTTTGTTTGTTTGTTTTTGTTTTTGTTTTTTACCTTTTTGTTCTAGTTTGGTTGATTTCTTCTGACCAATAGGGGAGTAGAAGAAGAGGAAAAACAGATCTTTCTCCTTATTTAGTGTTTGTTTTGGGGAAGGACTTGGTGCAAGAAGGTTCCGAGAGTTTGTGCCTTGGACAGTGGTCCTGTTAGGTGGTTCAGTGGCAGGAAGCCCTCAGTCAGTGCTGAGTGCTGAACAGGCTCAGCTCTTACTCTCAAGGAACATTCTTGCTGTGACTCAAGAAAATGAGAAATGATTATGCTTATGACTGGAGAATCCGCAACCAGTACTGGAGTAAGGAGCCAAAAACTAAATATACTGATTGTCAGAAAAGTCATGACTTATTTTTTTATTATTATTTCATTTTCTTCATTTCATTGTTTTATTTTATTTTTTTGAAGTTGACCATAGAGAGACAGAGAGAAGGAAAGTGAGAAAGCAAGTTGCCAGGTCCGGGACTCAGACTGTGGTCAGCCATGTGGGAGTCCAGTGCCTTAACCATCACGCCACCTGCCAACCCCATGTATTTTTCTGTTTTTCTGTGCAAAAATACATCATGACTTTTTCAGCATTTTTTAAATCAGGAAATTTCATAAATGAGGGAGGCTTGAGAGAGAGATGAGCTGATGACTAAACTATAGGAAGAAGTGGAGGTCTAGATCAAGCCTAAAGTTGAATGGTGCTTGTTTTCTTCTGACCAGGAACCCTCCAAGTTTCTTTGTCCAACTTATTTCCCCCCACCCCCCAGGTTCGGTTTGGTCAGCAAAAGCGATACCAGGATTGGTTCCAGCGCCAGTACCTGTCAACCCCAGACAGTCAGTCTCTGCGTTGTGACCTCATCCGCTACATCTGTGGGGTGGTCCACCCTTCTAATGAAGTGCTGAGTTCAGATATCTTGCCCCGATGGGCCATCATTGGCTGGCTCCTGACAACATGCACGGTGAGGGGCTAGGTCCTGCAGTGGAGGACATGGGGTGGCAAAAGGTGCTCTTCTGTCATGTTCCCCATATGTCCCTGCCCCTTTCTGACTCTTTAGGGCCAGGACCCCTGAGGACCCCTCTTCCATTCCAGCCCTCCTGACTGTCTCAGTCTTTGCCCTGCCTCCCTTTATGTCTCTAGAAATGTGCTTACACTCATCATTTCCCATCTGGTTTGGGGTTGAACAGGTTCATTTACATAAACCCTTTATTGCCAACCTCCAAAGCCTAGATTGCTGGGGCGTCCTGCCTTTTTCTTTTTGCCTCCAGAGATCACATACGGTTATTCCTCTGAATTGTTCCTTTCTCAGATTCAGGGTTTGCATTCTTTAGACCCTCACCTCCATGCCTTTTGACTTCAACTTTGGATGCTTTCCTTCTCCAGATATAGTGAGTCTGTAACCGAGCCATTTTCTTCCTGGCCTTGTCCTCCCTGTGCCTAGGGTGGGAAAATACCTGTCCTCAGACGCCCCTTGACTTCTGAGAGGGTTCCCCATCCCCATCTGACTGGGTTCTTGGAATGTGCAAACTCAAATGACAGGCAGGCTGTTGTTACGAGGGGGTCTCTTACTTAAGGATGTGCCTGGGAGCCCAGCAAGGGCAGCCCAGAAGCCAGTCTGAGTGTTTCCCTGCTCAGGGGTGATCAGTGGATTCCTATGTCCACTTTTTGTCCCATGTGGGACCCCAGATGTGTCCTACTGGTTGTATGATGAAGCCAGGCCAGGCCCTGTCCTTGTTGGCCAGCCCGCAGGTACTCCCGCACATGCACCACACAGACTTGGTGCCTGTCACCCCTGGGGGTTCCACCTTGTTTCACTAGGAAACTGCAGCTTCATAGAGGGAGCAGCCACGTGGGCCCTGGAATCTGTTGTGGGCTCCGAAGTGAAAGGAGCTGGTGGATGAAACTAGCCCTCTTTTCCCCCTCTCTTTTCCAGTCCAATGTTGCTGCCTCTAATGCCAAGCTGGCTTTGTTTTACGACTGGCTGTTCTTTAGTCCAGACAAGGATAGCATTATGAACATAGGTATGTGACTGAGACCAGGCAGCGCCACCTCCCTGTCCCGTGAGCCCCCACTGCCTTGTCCTAGAGAGAGCAGTCATAAATCTCAGGGCAGCGCAGAGTGGAGGCCACTCATCTGGGAGCAGTTCCGCTGTTCCTCATCATTTCTCCCTTGACCTAGAAGGAAAATTGCTTTGATGAGGCCTGGCAATCACTCCACCCCCTTCTCTCCACAGCCTTATGCTTGGGCTTTGGGTGGGGAGGGCCCAGGCAGAGGAAGAGGCTGTACCATATCCTGCTTCTCCTCTCCTGCCTCCCTTCTCCAAGCTGAATACTGGGACGAAAAGGGAGATGAGGGCTAAGCACTGTTTGGGGGGACTGTCTGCTCAGTGGGAATGGAGGGGAACAGACACAGCACTCCCCAGAGCCAGTCATGAATATCGATATCTGTTTTGTGGGGATCAAAACAGACTGTCTGACAGGGGGGACCCTTTAATTCCACATTCTCCAGAACCAGCCATCCTGGTCATGCACCACTCCATGAAGCCCCACCCTGCCATCACCGCCACACTCCTGGACTTCATGTGCCGCGTAAGTGCATAGCCTTTTTCTCCCCATTCCCAGATGAGCAGAGCTTAGTACGTCCTCCCTGATCTCCTAAGTGGAGGGGTCTTCCTGGTGCCTTCAACTGTGGGGAAAATGGTCTCAGGTCCTTCCCCTAACCCGGTGAATACTTCCCTTCCTTACTCCCACTGTCTCCTGTTGGATCTTCCCATGTTTCTGTGGGATTTCATATCCATAGGATGGTGACTCAAGGAAGAATCTAGTCTCCTTGGAAAGCAGCCACCTCTAGTAAGAGTTGCCCATTTTAGCAGCCTGGAGTAGTCGGGACCATGCCATCCTCCTCTGTAGCCACCCAGTGTTACTCAAACTACGGCAGTGTCTTAGATCTCGTTCCGCCGAACACTAGTGGAGGGTCCTGTGCTCACTCTTTTCTCCTCTCCTTCCCTTCCAGATCATTCCCAACTTTTATCCACCACTGGAGGGCCACGTGCGGCAGGGTGTCTTTTCCTCCCTCAATCACATTGTGGAGAAACGGGTCTTGGCGTAAGGAATTGTTGTGTGGGGAAGTGGGAGAAAGGGTTGCTATACCATTCATGAGTAGGTCCGGGCTCCAGCAGGTCAGATACATCCAAACGTTGCCATACCACTGTCAGTGCCACCCCTGCAGGCCTGAAAAGTCTGCCTCAGCCTGCTTGGTCTTCTCCTCTTGACTTGAAGGATTCTTTGTTTCTTGCTATCATATTTGCAGAGGGCTTCACATGCCTTCCCAGGACCCAAGTGTGACCCAGTTACATGGAGTAAGCTTAGACTCAGCTTTAACTCCATTCTGAGTTAGAAGTAAGGACCACTCGAGTGGTCCTATTGCACAGTGGTTAAGCACGGTGCTTTGGGATCTAGGTTCCAATGGCTGACTGCAGTTCAAATCCCAGCTCTGGCAGCTTTAAAAACACACTGAACACACTGGGTATGTGTCTGAGTGTCCCACATCCTGACAGATGGAGAAATGGAGGAGAAAGGATTGTGGCACAAGAGAGTCTCTCTCTCTCTCTCTCTAGCAAGTGCACATACCCCTTGATGATTAAAAAAAAAAGGTAGAAGAAATGAGCACTGATGTTGACTCATTCGTGTTCCCCACTAGACCCTTGGCTCCCCTGTTTGACAACCCCAAATTGGATAAAGAGCTGCGGGCAATGCTGAGAGAGAAGTTTCCTGAGTTCTGCAGCTCTCCCTCCCCACCCGTAGAAGGTATGATGTCCTCCCATCCCAGTACCTGTGTCAAGAGGGGTGTCAACATCCCAGGCTCTCAGACTGGCCCTATTGAGGATGTCGTCCCTGTGCAGTTTCCACCTTTGAGATACTGTTCACCTCAGCTTTCCTTCCCCAGTTGCTCTTATATTTATGTTTCTCCTGTCTCCCTTGATTCTCTCTCTCTCCAGCTACTCTCATCTGACTTTCATTCATCTTTCTTTTTTTCCTAACTCATTTTTTCTCTTATTAACCTCTCCTCAGCAGGGAGAAGGCTTTCACGGGATGTTTGTCTCACTTTAACTTTGCCTGTCTCCTCTGTTCCCAGCCTTAGGCACCAGCCCCTGATGAGAGGTTGTTATATTGGAACTCAGATCTTGCTCCTGATTCTAGAAAGTCTTTTACCCACCACAAATGTGCATGTGCATGCACACACACACACTCTCTCTCTCTTGGTTTAGGATAAGGGCTTCAGCCAAGCAGTACTTCTCAACTTGGTTTTCAGTTAAACAGCACTTGGGACTTGCTCAGTTGTACTGTACTCATGAATCCTGAGCTGAGCATAGCCGTCATGTTGTGTGCTGTTCTTACTCCTGGCAGCATCCCCCTGCAAGTTGTGGAAGGTTGTGAGGACAAGAGGTTTGTCCTCCTAGGGTCATCATTCCCTGTAGGTCGTAAACTTCTTGTTCTCCCACATGTCCTCCAATGTCCCCTTCCCAGAAGCATGGGGCGTATTAGAAGACACAGGAGGCCATCAAATGCCTTGTCTTTCTTTACTCCCAAGTCAAAATTGAGGAGCCAGTTTCCATGGAGATGGACAACCATATGTCAGATAAGGATGAAAGTTGCTATGACAATGCAGAGGCTGCCTTCAGTGACGACGAGGAGGATCTCAACAGCAAAGGTGAGGCTAGTTGCAAGGGTTAGCTCAGGCTTGTCTCAAATCCAGGAGGACTGGTTTGCAGGAGCAGCCCCTGTAGTCTTTCACTTTAGACTACTGGATGGAACTCTGGGGTGCAGAACCCTGTCCTGTTTGCTTGTAAGAGCTAGGACATGTGCATCCTCAGGCACTCACAGCATCAAGTAAGAAGGAGGGCACCAAGGGCATGTGAAGAAGGGACAGGGGATTCAGAGGGACTCTCTCCTTTGCTGGCATCTGGACAAACTGACTTCTTCCCTAAATCCTTCCCTTTAGGAAAGAAGAGAGAGTTTCGATTCCACCCTATCAAGGAGACGGTTGTGGAGGAGCCAGTTGATATCACCCCGTACCTTGACCAATTGGATGAGTCCCTCAGGGACAAAGTACTCCAGCTGCAGAAGGGGAGGTGGGTCTAGACCCTGCTTTCAACCTCAGCACTCTAGCCCAGGTGCTCCACCTGGTGCTAGTGGGTGTGGATGGATGCAGAGGCTGAGGGAATGGGGGGGGTCCTGGAGAGGCAGAGGTGGTCACAGCTTCATGAGTGATGTCTTCTGTGGTAATATTGGGGAGCATGGGCTGGGAGTGGGAAGGCCTTGTTCCCCAACACCTCAGGTTCCTATGCCACAGATTCTGGGGAGAAGAGACCTGGAAGCGGGATTGATGGGGATTTCCCTTTTCTTTGGGCCTCTGCCCAAAGAGCTCCAAATTCTGTCCTAAAGCCCCCCACCCAAGGCAGGACTTTATACAGTGCTCTCTCGTTTTGTCTGTGAGCATGTGTGTGCTTGTGCGTGCTGCTCTGGGTGTGTGCCCTCTGCTATCGTTTACATCCCCGGGATTTCCTCTCACCCTATACCGCAGTGATACAGAGGCCCAGTGTGAGGTCATGCAGGAAATCGTGGACCAAGTCCTGGAGGTGAGGAGGAACCCAGTCCCTCAGGGAGGAAGCAGAGCAGTGCGGCAGCTTTGAGCTCCCCAACAGATGTCTCCTAGGGAAGCTGGCTCCCGCTGCCTCTCCCCCAGATGGGTCCTAAGAGGGGTGAGGGAGCTGATCCTGGAGGTGGAAGGAGATGTCAGAGGCTCTGAGGTGGTAGAAGCATAAAGGCTTGGGTCTAGGTAGTGATACCTCTCCCTCACCTCACCACCCAGGAAGACTTCGATTCGGAGCAGCTGTCTGTCCTTGCTTCCTGCCTGCAAGAACTCTTCAAGGCCCACTTCCGAGGGGAGGTGCTGCCCGAGGAGATCACTGAGGAGTAAGGCTCATTTTCCCTGATCCCTGGGCCTCAGGAGCCAGAGTGTGCTCTTTCAGCCCAAATCCAGGAGGCACCTCGCTATGGGCTTGAGAAAAATAATCTGTTCACTAGATGCTTTTATTCTCCCATGTGCTGATTTTTTTAACAAGGGTTTCTTTCTGTCTGCTGAACACCATGTGTACTGGGGCAGTGGACAGCAGCCCCTCCCTGTGCTTCCAGCCCCTGCTGCTGGGCCCAGCAGCCTTGGCTTTTGCTGCCTTGGGTGGGATTGGACCCCAGCCTGGGCTGACTCTCCCTGACGGGCAGAGTCTCAGATTCAGTGATGATGGCAGCCTCAGACTGTGGTTCCATGTTAAGAGCCTATTTTCTCTGTCACCAAGTCCCTGGGGCAGCAGGAAGTTTGTCTCTGGGGTAGGAAAGGAAGCTGACATAGTTTCAAGCTGGTTTTCCATTACTCTGCCTGCAGTCTACCCTCCTCCCCTCACATGGATTCTCACATATAACTCTCCTCCTATAGGTCTCTGGAAGAGTCTGTAGGGAAGCCCCTCTACCTAATATTTAGGTAAGTCCTCAGCTTTTAGGTAGTACTGCTCTGCCTCATCTTCTCTGACATACACTACTTTCCTGGGGTCCTGGGATGCCCTTTCCAGGAAGGAGGAGATATACAATGGGCATGGACAGCCCGTGCCACCCAGAAGCTTCATGGGAGAGTCTGCCCTAGGTAAAGTGCCCCTCCCCCTGCACCCCCAGGAACCTGTGCCAGATGCAGGAAGACAACAGCAGCTTCTCTCTGCTGTTGGACCTTCTCTCCGAGCTCTATCAGAAGCAACCCAAGATTGGCTACCACCTGCTCTACTACCTGAGGGCCAGGTGGGTATGGTTCCATGCTTTTGAAGACGTTAGGAAGCATCATGGAGAGCCTCTCTTCTGTACTGACTCCTCCACCCTTGGCTACCATCACGAGGGTCTTTCATGTTATCGAGATAAAATTCACATACCATAAAATTGACCCTTTTAAAGGGTACACATCAATGTTTTTAGTATATTCACAAAGTTGTATGACACTGTCTAATTTAACATTGTTATCACTTCCAAAAGAAACCTTGTACCCATTAGCAATCACTTTTTATTATTATTATTATTAAGATTTTTGTCATAGGGTGTGTGTGCTCACTGGGAAGGAAAGAGACAGAGGAAGTGAGAAATCGCCCCCCAGGGGGATGGCCATGCTACAGACATCCCGAAGCTCCATTCTCTTCCTGGGATTTTGGGTATGCACACACACATATCCAGTGTGAGTTTCAAGCTGCCAGGTCTGGGACTCGAACCTTGGTTGGCCATGTGGGAATCTAACGCTATAACCACTACACCACCTGCTGGCCCCAGCAGTCACTTTTTTATTCTCTCCTTCACCCGTCCCTTTGCAACCATCTGTCTGCTTTTCTGTCTCTATGAATTTACTTTTGGACCTTCCTCTATCATAGATGGAATCATACAATGTGTGACCTTTAGTAACGTGTTTTTTTCACTTAGTGTAATGTTTTTAAAGTTCATCTATATTGTAATATGTATCGATTCTTCATTCCTTTTTATAGCAAAATAACACCCCAATGTATAGAAACACCACATTTTGGGACCAGCAGATGGTGTAATGTTTATGTTCCTGGTATAATGTTTATGTTGCTGATGTAATGTTTATGTTGCTGGACTCCCATGTGGTCAACCACAGTTCAAGTTCCAGACCCAGAAGCTTCAAACTCATAGCGGGTGTGTGTGCGTGCGTGTGTGCCCAAAATCCCAAGAGGAGAATGGAAGTGAAGGGATTGCAGCATGGCCAGTTCCTTTTGGGGTGGATTTCTCACTTTCTGTCTCTCTGTCTCTTTGGCAAGCATACACACCCTATAGCAAAAATGTCTCAAAAAAAAAAAAAACCACCTTTTGTTTATCTTTGTCTATCAGTAGATCTTTGGGGTTGTGTCAACATTTTAGCTATTGAGAATGGAGCTGCTATGAACATGAAAACTTGTTTTCAGTTTGGGGATATACCTTAGAGTGGCATTGTTGGCTCACACAGTAGCTTTTTTTTTTTTTTTCTTTTAAATGCCAGAGGGTGTGTACCCTAGCACAAGAGAGGGGGAAGGAAAAAGGAAGCACAGGGGAGAGGGAAAGCACCCCATCCCTGGTCACTCTACAGTCTTCATTGCTCCAGTTCTTTAATCCATCAGGATCCTGGGCACAAACACATATGCCTCCAGCATGTTTTTCAAGCCAACAGGACCAGATCTTGAACCCTGGTCAGCCAGGTGGGACCTGGTTTCTCTGTGCAGTGCTTAACCACTGCACTTCGTCCAGTGCAGAGTCATTGACCAGTCAGTAACTCTGCTTTACATTAGTGAGAAACTGCCAAACTGTTTTCCAAAGTGGTTTTAACTATTTTAGATTCCCACAAGGAATATGTCAGAGTTCTGATTTCCCCACATGCTCCCCAACACTTGTTATTGTCTTGCTATTTGGTTACAGCCATCCTAGTGGATGTGACATAGTGTGTGTTTTTGATTTGCATTTTCCTGATGGCTAATGATGTTGCTCTTTTTCCATGCTTATTAGTCATTTGTATATCTTTGGAGATATATTTATTCAAATCCTTTTCCGTTTTGTTTTTTTTGAGAGGTTTTCACTATAGGGTGCGTGTGCTCACCAGACAGAGAGAGACAGACAGAAAGCAAGAAATCACCCCCCGGGGGGATGGCCACGCCACAATCCGTTCTCCTCTTGGGATCTTGGGCACGCACGCACATGCGCCCGGCGTGAGTTTTAAGCCACTGGGTCCGGGACGCGAACTACGGTCGACTACATGGGAGTCCAGCGACATAGCCATTACGCTAACTGCTGGTCCCCTCCTTTTCCATTTTTAATGGGTTATTTTTTTAGTAGTTTACTTTAAAAGGTGTTTATATTGGCTGCCATTCCCCACTTTGAGAGAGCAGGCTTTCGACCCTCCAGTGCCAAGGATCATTTCCCATTTCACGGCATTGAAGGCAAAGCCCAGGAGGTGGCTGGGTATAGTCTCTCACCCAACGTCTAATCTCTTGCACTTGAAGCAGGAATCTGCATATCTTTCTGGTTTTGGGCTAAACTTTTGGATGGTTTGTGGTTATCGAGTGCTTTGCTGATTGCGATAGCCATAAACCTGTCTTGTTTTTCTTTGTTTTGTTCTCTTTCCCTTTTTTTCCCTTCTCAAGATCCCAATTATTAAATGCCATAAAGGCAATGTTAAATAGCAGAGACTGATGGGTTTGGGCTTCCTTTGTAGCTTTTGGAGTTTTCATCTGATATCTGAGGCAGATTGGCTAGTGGAATTACTGTCCTAAAAGAGCCCCCCCTTCTAACTTACGCCGGGCGCGTGTGTGCACGTGCCCAAGATCCCGAGAGGAGAATGGAGGAGAAGGGATTGCGGTGTGACCATCCCCCTTGGGGGGTGCTTTCTCACCTTCTGTCTCTATGTCTCTCTCTGTCTGTCTGGCGAGCACACGTACCCTATAGTGAAAATCTCTCAAAAAAAAAAAAAAAAAGAGCCCCCCCTGCTAGAGAAGTAGGGTCCAGATTAGCATATTTTCTAAATCTCTCACCTATCATAGAAGGCAGCTGGGTTTTCATCTTTTTCTATACGATTGCTCTTAGTTTCTCATAATTTACAGGCTGTTTTTTTTTTTTTTAAGAATTATTTTTATTTAACTTTATTTATTTTTATTTGACCAGAGAGGGACAGAGTGAGAGAGAAAGAGGGAAAGTGAGAAAGCAAGCCACCAGATCCAGGACTTGAACTGTGGTCAGCCATGTGGGAGTCCAGCATCCTCAACCACTATGCCACCTACCAGCCCCTATAACTTACAGGCTTTTGTAACCCATGTCTCATTCCTGCCAAGAGAGCCTCTAAGAACTTAGTTCTCTGGTTTATCCACATTGGGGTGTTATAATCCCATTCAGGGTCAGTCTTGGGGACAGACTCTTCCTGGAAAATTTCCTTGTGGGATCCTAACAAATGCAGCATCTTCTGTTAAAATTCATTCTTTCTCAATAGGGCTACAGCAGGTAGCCGGAACCCATCAGTAAAACTTACTGAAGTCTTCAGAATATTTGTTCAACTTTTCTTTGCATTGTTGAATATCAGTAATAGCGAAGGAGACTTGGACTCTGAGTCCTCTTGTCCAGCTATTTCCTGAGGGGGTAGAGGGTCCCACTTTGATTATGTGAGCCAAAGGGCTGATTATCTAGTCCTGCTGTTCGCTTTGGGGTGGACATAGCTGTGAAGAAGGTGAGAAGCAGTATGAAGGGGGAGTCCCTTCAGGGTTTATAACAAAACTCTTGTTATATCCACATTTGGTGAGGCCTTAGTGAAGGGATTTGGTTGACTTTCATATAAAGGGAAAGGTCTTTTATTTATTTATTTTCAATGAGAGAGAGAGACAGCACTCTCAATAGGGAATTGGCCCTGTGACCACCACCCCCACCTTCAGCCAGTCAGCATGCATGTGTCCAGCATACTCAGGGAGGTCTCTGGGACTTGAACCAGGGACCTTTCCACGTGAGATTGCTCAGACAGATTCACCACTGCACTACTGTCTGGCCAAGAGAAGGGTCTTTATGATAAAGGGCCATAAAGGCCTGTACATATGGGACTTCAAGCCACTTCTATTGTCTTCTGCCTAGCAAATCCAGCTGTAAGATAGTGTTCCAATTAATGGTCCCATTTAGTGGCCATCATTCTTGGTCCCCAAGTTTATATTGAGGCTAAGCTGTATTACAGAAAAATATTAAGCGCTCAGGACCAGCAGTGGCATAATGGCTATGTCACTGTACGCCCATGTAGTTGACCATGGTTCGAGTCCTGGACACAGTGGCTTAAACTCACGCCAGGCACATGTGCGTGCGTGCCCAAGATCCCAAGAGGAGAATGGAGGAGAAAGGATTGTGGCATGGCCATCCCTCCTGGGGGGTAATTTCTCGCTTTCTGTCTGTCTCTCTTTCTGGCAAGCACAGGCACCCTATAGCAAAAATCTCTCCAAAAACAAAACGAAACAAAACAAAGCAAGTATTGAGCGTCTAAAAGAAAACAAAAAGTTTTGGGCCAGCAGGTGATATGGTGGTTAGGGCACTGGACTCCCTCATGGTTGACCACAGTTTTAGTCCCAGACCCAACAACTTAAAACTCACACTGGGGGGACCAGCAGTTAGCGTAATGGCTAATACGCTGGACTCCCACGTAGTCAACCACAGTTCGAGTCCCGGACCTGGTGGCTTAAACTCACGCCAGGCACATGTGCGTGCGTGCCCAAGATCCCAAGAGGAGAATGGAGGAGAAGGGATTGTGGTGTGGCCATCCCCCCAGGGGGGTGATTTCTCGCTTTCTATCTCTCTGTCTCTCTCTGTCTGGCGAGCGCACGGCGCCCTATAGCAAAAACCTCTCCAAAAAAAAAAATAAAACCTCACACTGGGCACATATGTGTGCATGCCTAAAATCCCAAGAGGAGAGGAACCAGCAGTTAGCGTAATGGCTATGTCGCTGGACTCCCATGTAGTCGACCACGGTTCATGTCCCGGACCTGGTGGCTTAGAACTCACGCTGGACACATGTGCGTGCGTGCCCAAGATCCCTAGAGGAGAAGGGATTGCGGCGTGACCATCCCCCCTGGGGGGTGATTTCTTGCTTTCTGTCTCTATGTCTTTCTCTGTCTGGCGACCGCAAGTGCCCTATAGTGAAAACCTCTCAAAAAAAAAAAAAAAAATTCCCAAGAGAATGGAAGAGAAGGGATTGCGATATGGCCATGCCCTCAGGGAGCGATATCTTGCTTTCTGTGTGTGTCTCCAGCAAGTGCACATCCCCAATAGCAAAAATCTCTCTCAAATAAATAAATATGTTTTTTTTTTTTAGAGAATATTCCATTTTATTTATTCATTCATTTATTTTAATTTGACCAGAGAGAAACACAGAGAGAGAAAGAGGGAAAGTGAGAAAGCAAGCCACCAGGTCCAAGACTTGAACCGTAGTCAGTCATGTGGGAGTGTCCAGTGCCTTAACCATCATGCTACCTGCTGATCCCTAAATGTGTTGGTTTTTTTTATAATTAATTTTCTTCATGAAAGAAAGAGAGAAAGCACCCCCAAAAGAGGGATGATGCCATGCTCTACGTTAAGTTTTAGCCAGCCTTGATCATGGGCACACGCATGCCTGACATACTCAGAGAGGTCTCTAGATACAAGCCTGGGTGGGACCTTTCTATATGGGTCAGCCTTTTAGAGTGAGTCCTCTAGTGTGCTTTGCCACTGTCCTACCATATAGCCCCTGTGATTGACTTTTGAGACTTCTTATGTAGTCTACATACAAGTCTCATTTTATTTTATTCTATTTAAAGAATTATTTAACTTTATTATTATTATTATTATCATCTAATTTGACCAGAGAGGGACAGAGTGAGAGAGAAAGAGAGAGGGAAAGTGAGAAAGCAAGCTTCAGATCTGGGACTCAAACCGTGGTCAGCCATGTGGGATTCCAGCCACCTTAACTGTCATGCCACCTGCTGGACTCTTATTTATTTTTTAAAAATAATTTTATTGGCGGGGGGAGCAGTGGTAAGTTGTGTGGCCCCTCTCACATGGCCAACCACAGTTCAAGTCCCAACCCTGGTGGTTTCTTTTCTCACTTTCTCTCATTCTCTGGTCAAATTAAAAAATAAGTGAATGAATAAATAAAATTATTTTTAAAAGTTACTGGGTCCAGCAGGTGGCATCATGGTTAAAAGTACTGGATTCCCACATGGCCAGCTACAGTTCAAGTCCCAGACCTGGTGGCTTACTTTCTCACTTTCTCTGTCTCTGTCTCTCTCTGTAGAAAAAAATTTAAAGAACAATGATAATAAAGTTAAATGTTTTTTTTAATTTTAATTTTTTTTGGGGGGGGAGAGGTTTTTGCTATAGGGTGTGTGCACTCCCCAGAAAGAGAGAGAGAGACAGAGAGACAAAGCGAGAAATCAACTCCCGAGGGAGATGACCACGTCGCAATCCCTTCTCTTCCATTCTCCTCTCGGTATCTTAGGCGTGCACACACATGTGCCTGGCATGAATTTGAGCCACCAGATCCAGGACTCAAACCATGATCGACTACATGGGAGTTCAGCGACATAGCTATTACACCAGTTGTTGGTCCTGTATTATTATTATTTTTAATTTGCTACAGAGCATATGCACTCACCAGGGATAAACAGAGACAGACAGAGGGAACATGAGAAAGCGAGCTGCCAGTTTCAGGATTCAAATATCGGTCAGCCATGTGGGAGTCCAACACCTCAACCGTCACACCACCTGCTGGCTCCACAAGTCTCATTTTTAAATATAGGGATTGCAAAAATTTTCTTATTCTGTAGGTTGTCTTTTGACTGTTTTTGATGACATCCTTTGAAACACAAAAGTACTAATTTTTAAAAAAAATAATTAATTTATCATTATTATTTTTTAATTTGCTCAGGGCACATGCACTCACCAGAGAGAGAGACAGAGAAAGTGCAAAAGCAAGCCACCAGGTCTGGGAGTCAAACCATGGTTGGTCATGTGAGAGCCCAGTATCCCAACCACCACGCCACCTGCTGGCCACCAAAATGTTAATTTTTTATGACATTTAATTTGTTTTTTTTTTCTTTTTAAGAGTTATTTTAGTTAACTTTATTTATCTGTTTATTTCATTTGACCAGAGAGGGACAAAGAGAAAGAAAAAAAGCAAGCCACCAGATCTAGGACTTGAACCACAGTTGGCCGTGTGGGAGTCCAGTACCATTAACCACCACGTCACCTGCTGGTTCCTTTTTTCTTTTATTATAAAGAATTATTTTTTATTTAATTTTATTTATTGTCATTATTTTTTATTTTTTATTTTTGAAGTTGACCAGAGAGAGAGAAAGAAAGTGAGAATGCAAGCCTCCAGATTCAGGACTCAAACTGTGGTCAGCTATATGGGAGTCCAGCTGCCTTAACCACCATACCACCTACCTGTCCCTAACTTTTTTTCTTTTGTCACTTGTGTTTTTTATGAAATGAAGATTTACTCCTCTTAATGTTTTCTTCCAAGAGTTGTATGGTTTTAGTTCTTACATTTAGGCCCATAGGCCATTGAATTGTGTATATAACTGAGCTGTTAGTACTCTCATGGCTCTAGCCCTGAAAGCAGCAGAAAAAGCGTTTTCTAACCTGACCTGTCTCTCCCTCTCCTTGCCTCTCATTAGCCAGCAGCTTCCGTGACTGTGGCCAGAGCCCTGTCTGGAGTCACTGTTGAACCAAGAGGAGAAAGAAGAGTCCCCATGTTCCTATCACTTATCAGTCCCTGAGGGAAGGCAGGGGAGCAGCAGAGGCAGATTAGTACAGAGCATCTAGAGCAGACAAAGTGGTTCCAGGTTAGAGCCTACTCCAGTAGTGTTTAAAGGTGGGTGCTGGGAAGACCAGCATTTGGCTTATGTCACTGGACTCCCACATGGTCGACCACAGTTCGAGTCCCAGAGCCAGTGGCATGTGCGTGCATGCCTAAGATCCCAAGAGGAGAATGGAGGAGAAGGAATTGTGGTGTGGCCATCCCCCGGGGGGTGATTTCTTGCTTTCTGTCTCTCTGTCTTTCTGGCAAGCGCACGTGCCCTACAGCAAAAACCTTTTGAAAAAAAAAATGAAGGTGGGCGCTGGGGGTCCATCTGCTAGCTTAGGCCCAACTGGTCTTGCAGCAAAGCCGCCGCAGGAAAGATGAACTTGTATGAGTCATTCGCCCAGGCCACCCAGCTGGGTGACCTGCACACCTGCCTGATGATGGACATGAAGGCCTGCCAGGAGGATGATGTACGGCTGCTGTGCCACCTCACGCCTTCCATCTACACAGAGGTCAGTCCCTCCGGTCCCCCTGTGCTGAGGGCTGTGGTTAACAGTGCAGGGGCTCCCAGAAGACCATGCCCTCTGTTCTCAAGTATGGCACACACAACCCTGATTCAACCTCGCCCACCCCCACAAAGCTTGATAAGCCATTGCTTCCCCTACCACAGCTGTCCTTTTCTTTCTCCTTATCGAAGGTTGAAAATGTCTAAAACTCCTAGAATCCCTGTCCTTTTGTTTAAATGTGCTTTGAGTTGGGGTCTGTCCCTTTATACTGGGTTTCTCAGCTTTGGTGCTGTCATCTGGACCCAGGACAGGCTTCCTGAACCAGAGCCAGGTGCATCTCTCCTAAGCCCTCCGGCCCCCTGCTGGCTAACCCTTACATTCTCTAACGGTTCCCAAAGCCCAGGACGTCTGCAGAATCACTTTCATTTCCCTGGTTTACTCGCAGTTTTCTCTAGGAACTGGGACAGAGGAGGAGGTACCAGCTCTTCCTCCTGCTGGTGAAAGTTCCCAGGAAATGGGAAATGAGGGCTCAGGGTGTGGGCATGAAGGGGAACTGTGATCTTGGCTGAGCACAGGAGGGGGGCAGGTGCCAACCAGGCACTTCCCTCCTCGCCGCCTCCCTCAACACGCAGCCCCCCCTTACACCCATCGCTCACACGCCCCGGACACCCACACTGTTCCTTCTCTTCCTTGCCAGAGGGTCAGCATAGACTGGATGTTTTTGCTGCCAGGGATGCAGACAGTGTTCTGATGCCCCTCCCAACAGACCCTTTCAGCTCTGGCTTCTCTCTCTGCTCCCGTTGCTTTCCTTACACACACGGCGCCCCCACAAACAGTCTGGGGTGCATACGTACCAAACCTGGGTTAGAATCCCATCTTTGTGGCTATCAGACCTCTGCTCAGGGATTGAAGGGCCATGTCTGGCTGGGTCAGATAAGGAAGTAGGGGATTGGTTAGGAGGTGATAGCCAGGGGCCACGCCGGCCTCGCCCTACTCCTCCTCTCTTTTTCTCTCTAGTTTCCAGATGAGACCTTGAGGAGCGGGGAGCTGCTAAACATGATTGTGGCTGTTATTGACTCTGCACAGGTGGGCACAGAGCTCTGACGCCCCAGGGAGGGTCTGCCCTGCCTCCTAGTACAGTTGTGCCCCGTGTAGGCCATGGCACTAGGAGGGAAAGTGGAGCCTAGGGGAGGCAGTCTTGGGGCAGGCCGACCCTGCCTGGAGTGCCCTGTATTCTTGGGGGCACTCTTGTTCCCACAGGGAGAGCTGAGGAAGTTGTCCTGAAGTTTTCAAGTGGCCTTCCTGTTGGCTCAGAATGTAAATGGTCAGACCTGCCATAGTCCATGGGTCACCACAATCTGTCATTGCTGGGATTCATTTATGTCCCCCCGTCCACTCAGCCCCACTTAACAACAGAGAGAGCTAGGCACTCAGGAGTCCCTGCCTTCACCGCCCACACCTCATCCAGAGCACAGTTTCCCAGCCTCCTTCCCTCCTCAGGCCCAGACTAAGGCCAGGGAGAGAAGGTGTGGGGGTGTGGGGGTGTGGGGGCTCCAACAGCCCTGCTGCTCCTGCTCTAGCCTGTTGCTACTTTGCCAGTGCCCTGTCTTCCCGTCCCTTTAAACCAGCCTTTCACTTCCTCTGACTTTTCCCTTCAGGAACCCTCCTACTTCTCCCCATGCTAGCTTCCTGGCCTCTTAGAACTAATGGGTTCTGCCTTCCTCTTCCTCCCCGTCCTCCTCTTCAGCTCCAGGAGCTGGTCTGCCATGTGATGATGGGGAACTTGGTCATGTTCCGAAAAGACTCTGTCCTCAACATCCTCAGTAAGTGACCAAGCCTCTTAGGGACCTGGGAGAGGAGATGGGGTGTCAGCCCTGCACATTTTCCTGATTTGGGCAAGCTGGTTCTGGACCTGGGAGTTCAGACCAGCTGCTGTCTGGTCTTGGGCAGCGTCTCTCTGAATCTCTGTCTCTTGCTGTATGGTGTAGAAAAGGATGGACACCTTTGCCAGCCTCCGGGCTGATGGGGATATGGAAACCATGGAGGACTGGAGATGAGCCTTGAGTGGGAAGGGAAAGGGTCACTATCCCTACTTCTGTCCATTCCTGTGTAGGATGCTGATAGTCATAGGTTAGCCGTGTGTGTGAGGGAGAGACAGACAGACAGACAGACAGCTGTTCTCTGTCCCTTGCAGTCCAGAGCCTGGACTGGGAAACCTTTGAGCAGTATTGCGCCTGGCAGCTCTTCTTGGCCCACAACATCCCCCTGGAAACCATCATCCCCATCCTGCAGCACCTCAAATACAAGGGTGAGTAGGCTGTGGGTTGGGAGCATGGGGGAGAGGATACCCCTAGTCCAGCTGGGACAGGCCGAGCCCCCTTGCCTCCTGGGCTGAGCCCGGATCCACTGTTCCGTGCCTACCAGGGTGCAGAAGGGCAAGCTCCCTCAGGCATTCTGACACTAGATGGGTCCTGCAGGCCCCCTGTGGGCTAGCTCTGAGCTGGGCCTGGCCCCCAGGGACTTGGTATAGGGTGGGGGCTTCTTCCTGGCTGCTGTGGAGACTGTCCTTGCTTTTCCAGTGCCTGTTGGTTGAGGGATGGGAGAGGGGCCAGGATTCCTTCCTGGAATTAAGCATTCCCTGAACAGCCTCTGCCTCTCCCCCACAGAGCACCCAGAAGCCCTGTCCTGCCTGCTGCTTCAGCTTCGAAGAGAGAAGTGAGTCCCATCCCTGGGGCTCTCTGGCCCTCAGACCCCGCACACCAAGAGAGCCTGTGGTATAAAGGGCATCTGGCCTGCGTCTTTGCCATGTGTTTTCCTTTCATCTGCTGCTTATTCTGCCCTTGCCAGTGTGACTTATAGATAAGCAGCTCCCCTGGGATGTGGGCCTCTTCCTGGTCTTAACCCCTGCCCACCAGAAACTGCCCTCAGAGGTGGGGGACCGGACATCACTGTTTCCTGCTCTCAAAGCAGTTCTAATCCCTGGAGGTTCCTGCCCCCCTGTTCTGCAGGCACCAACCAGCTATCCAAGAGGGGGAAGAGTCAGAGCCAGGGGTCACACTTCGAGCAGAGCCAGCTGGACCCACTGCACTCCACGGGTTGGCCAGGGCAGGAGGGAGGGCAGAAGGCCCCCTTTGCCGTCACAGACACTTTTACAACACCCCTAGATAACTGGGCAGCAGCTGTGTGTCTTCGCCTTCTGTTTATCTTGCCTGCCTGCCTTTCTCCTCTCTCACCCAAGAGACGAGAAACAACACAGAGTCCTAGAGGAAGTGGGAAGTTAGGAGGGCCGTGTGTGGCTGTGCTGCCTTCCCTGTGAGCCCCTTCCCAGGGGTGGGGACCTCACACCACGTCCTGGCCCATTCCTGACTGCTCCAGGGAAGGGGATTTGGTGAGCCCCCTTCCCAGCACACAGCTCTTACCGCAGAGACTGCAGGCTCTCCCTTGTCTGCTGGCGTCCGCAGAGGATGAAGCCAGGCATTCCCGGGCCCAGAGAGCAGATGGAGAGGGATGTGACACGAAG